GAGTTCATACAACTCACAGTCCCCATAAACCATGTAACCAACATGGGTAAAAAGGGTCATACTTTTTAGATGGTTCCTTAATGTTTTTTAGCATAGACTAGTGGATCCACTTAGTAGAAAGGGTCAACTCACATGCTTGTACATTCCACGTACTGAGCCATTTGGCCTGCATCATTTCATGATGTAGTTACAGGTATTCAGAATCATCAACAAGCATTTCGTTGAGGTCATGTGTTATTCCAGTCAGCTTTGGTGAGCCATCTTATATTCCGGAGGACTTAACCTTAATCTTACAGTTAGTAGTTTTGAGATGTCGTAGGTCTTGTCCCAATATTCTTCTGTAATTGTCACACCCTGAGCCTACACCCCGGACGTGACTGGCACTCGAGAACCATTGTTGGGCCCAAGCGAACATTTGGCCTGGCTAACTTACTCGGCGGAATACTTAAACACAAGAAATAGTCTAAAAAGGAACTTGTGAAATAACTTATAATGTCTTTAAATAAACATTCAAACTTAGCCAAAATGGCAACCTCAAGTCTAAAAAACAGAAGCCAATAATAAAGTAGTGACAAATGAATTTAACTAATTGACTGTATGTTGAGACAGGCCCACAACATCCTAATGAACTAATAATAAAACGGAAAGCAATAAAAGGGATCCTCCAAAAGCAAGGAGGCTCACCATAAGACTTTGAGTGCTCAAACTGGATCAAAAAGGTGTTGGATGCTGATCCTGGTTACCTGCGTTTGCATCATAAAAAGATGCAGGCCAACTGGCATCAATATATTGAATGTACGAGTATGCGAGTTGGAAAACTAAACAATACATAGGCTTGAAAAGATTCTGAAAGAAACACTTACATTGGCTCTTCTCAACTTATAAATAACTCAACTCATAATAAAGCAATATGACACATGCAGTATATGAAAAGCTTTATAAAACAGTAAAAACAACTTAGTTTGTTAAAGAAATTGCAATAACAAACTCAACTTTACTCATATAACAAAGTAATATAGTTTATGTGGGAGATTCTCTAACCGACAACCACCACTTTGAGCCTAAGTGGTGATACAACGTCTTGCCCACGTCCTGTACTTTGCCGTCATATAGAACGCTTAACTTAGTGGATCCACTAGTCTATGCTAAAAGCATCTTAAGGATTCATCTAAAAAGTATGATCTTTTACTACTCATGATGGCTACATGGTTTATGGAGACTTGAGTTAATATGAACTCGCATCCACATATCTGTGCTCAATACTACTCCCAAAATATACTTAGCTCATATGTTTTAAAAACAAACTTCTTTCTTTGCTTTGAGATAATTACTCAAAACTTAGCTTAAAAGTTCTCTTGGAATCGATGTTCCCATTTCTTATTCAAATGTGAAAACATTTATAAACTCTTTGGGAATACTTAGTTTCCTCATAGCTTCTTGAGAAATGAACTCAAGTTTTTACTCTTTGCTTAACTTGAAACTTAAGTCTTAAAACAAAGTTAAAAACGTTTGTTAAAGACTTTTGAAAACTTTATAAACTTTGCTTTGACTTGCTTCTTAACTTCTAGACTTTACTCTTAACTTCTCTTGACTTTCATCTTAACTTTCCTTGAATTGGATTATGGATTCAAGGTTCATGACCTCATGTTTATGGATGATTTCATGATGTTTAGATGTACCTTAGAGTGTTGAAATCAACTAGAAAACATAGGTACATTGCTAAGGAACAAGTACGAAAAGGTGGGGAAGAAATGGGGAGAACTGGCGTCCCTGGCGCTCTGAGAGGCGCGGGGCGCCAGCCCTCAAAGTTCAGAGAGCTTGCTATGGCGCTCTAGCTGGCGCGGCGCACCAGAGTCCAAAGTTCAGAGGAACTTTTATGGCTCTCTGGGAGGCGCGGCGCTCCAGCCCCCTCCCCAGAAAACTCCGAACTTTCTTCTTCGTTTTTCAACTCTAAACCCTCTAATTTCACTTGGTTCTTTCCCCAAACACTTAGAATCATTAATACCCTCAATATACAATAGATTCAACTCAAAATTTCACCCGGAAACATGAATCAAATCATCAAGAAACTTCAACAACACAACCCATAAGAATTCAACGAAACTTTCAACAATGTTCATCAAGAACTCAATTTCTAAACTTTCAAAGACTTAAATTCGCTGAATTGAATCATAGTTGGCGCATGGGCGAACTAACCCAATGGTATGTAATCTCACATACCTTGTAGGGATCACCCCCGATGAAATCCACAAGCTAACCTCGACGAATCTTGAACGTTCTTCTCCTTTCTCCTCTTTTCTCCTCTTTTCGAAGCCCTAGCATAAAATTTCACTTTTATAAACCGACTAAAATCTGACTTTACCTCAACTAATCCAACAACCCAACTTCCAAAGGGCATAACTTAGTCATACAAACTCAGAATCGCGTAAACTCAGCAGCGTTGGAAAGATCATTCCTAGATGTTTCCAACCATATCTGGAAGTACACCTAACTCATTCTGAGCTAGGAGTTATGACCGTTTGAAGTTGACCAAAACTCAACTTTTCCTAACTTAAAACAAATTTTCCATATTTTCTTTCTTTCCAAAAATGACTATTTCCAATTATTAGCTTCTTCCTAGTTATTTCAAATTGTGAGATGTTACAGTAATAGTAGAGGCTTTATAGATAGAAAAAAGTTGAGTAGTTTCAGTATGTATCTTCTTCGAGTTGTTTTTTTCAAACTGTGAGTTCATCTATTGAGTATTGTTCAGAATATTTTAAAGTTGAGTATTTGAGTTATTGAATTTATTTCAGTTTTAAGCTTTTTTATGCTTGAGTTAGTCTTCCGCTTTTAGTCAGCCAGGATGAGGGTTCGCTTGGGGACCAACAATAGTTCTCGAGTGTCGGCCACATCCAAGGTGTAGACTCGGATTGTGACAGGTAGAGTGTATGCAAACTTTGTCTCTACCTCAGAGGTGAGGTAAAGAGGTTTCTAATAGATCATCGGTTCAAGACAAAAACAATCTAGATAAAGATGTAATAAAAATACCAGAGACAATTGATAGTAACAAAAACAACAGATAGTATAAAAAATACGATTATAAAATAATATTTTAATTGAACTACCTGAAATCATATGTAACAACAGAAATCGAAGAACAAGAAACTATAATAATAGTACTCCTACAACTACTAATAACGGCAACAAGAAAATGCACTCCTACCTACTAGTATGGACATACTCCTAGCTACTAATCTTATACTCTAATTCATGTCCTCTACACAACATTTTAACAAAATAATATAAAAAATTAACTTAACTATACCGAGACCAAAGAGAATCCGCAATGATAGGATGATTTTGAAAAATCTAGTTTTAATAATGTAAAATAATTAAAAAAAATTATATGATATAAATTTTATAAAATAACCGATCAAATTCCAAAATTAACACCCCTTACCCTACACGTATCCATAGACCATATACTAGCTTTAATTATCTATATATTTTTTTTCTCCCTCTTTTTTCCCTCTATATAATAGATACTTAATAGCAATGAAAAATCTAGGAGAAGCAAGAATTGAATAAACACAAAAGAAGAAACAGCAAAATCAAAGAGGTAATTTTTTTGCATTTTCTCGTTCTATGCTAAACAATATCAACTAATAATATTCTTTTATACCTCAAGTTGAAGGACATGACACAAATGGACAATTATTTTGTTTAAAATATTCTTAGTCATCATTTTTTTTATTGTCAGTCAGTTTTTAATTTAATATCTATAATTTTAGGGTTTAATTAATTTGAATTCACTATAAAAAATCTTATTTCGAAAGGGGGTCGAGCCTATTTTTAGGACTTAAATTTGACGCTTTAGTCAACAAAGAAGGAGTAATTACCACTTAACTATAACTTTTGTTAGTTACTCATTTTGTGTGTTCTTTTAGAAATGGTGTACTACCACTACAATTTTAAATATTTTTACACAATAAGTCAATAATCACCTTGTAGAAATGACTTGTGTTGTTAGTTTCTCAAATAACTTTAAGAAAGTATAAAAATTATAAGGATGTGAAATATAATAGTGTATATAATACACATTTTCTTAAAGAGTATTTGGGATAAATATATTGCTTTGGATTAATAATAAATATATACATGGTATCTATGAATTGAAATTAAAAAGAATGTGCCTTTTGTAGGAATCAGAGTTGAAGAAGGAAGGATGGCAGACTCCATTATTGAGATTACCTCAATAGATAATAAAATTCCACTGCTTCTCCAAATTGAAGAAGATGAGGTCTCCCCCTCAACAATATAAATTTGTTTTTTTTAATATTTTAATTAAATATATAATCTTTTTGCCAAGTGTATGAATTTCAAGGGATTTTAGAATTTTTAAAACCATTTACTTTCATGTAATTTTAGATGTACTTCAGGATCCCAACACATTCACTATAACCATGGTTTACACCTTTTGGATTTTTTAAATCTGTGAGGTCCGGAAGGATAAAGAAAAATGGATGAGTAAGTTTTTAAAGTCATGTGATATTTTTAAAATTTAAAAATCAGTTTTGAGATGTTTTTTTTAAATTTATCATATTACCGAAAAGGATAAATATTCATCATTTGTTAAACAACAAAAGTATATATTGATAACACCATTAATGGAGCTTGAACATCTTAGTTCTATGCAGAAAAGAAGAACATTCTAGAGAGAATAAGAGAGAAGTATATTGAGAGAGTTCATTTACATTATTCACTTATACAGATTCTGTTAGACTCATAACACAATTTATAAGCTGCCATTTCATAACTAACTTCTGACAGTATTTAACTAACTTGCTGACTAGACTAACCATGGTAACTTGCTAACCTTATGCTCTGGTTAACACTCCCCCTCAAGTTCATGGTTCAAACAAGTTCATAACTCCCATATCACTTAGAAGTAGTTGATGTTGTGCCTTGCCCAGACTTTTTGTGAGAAGATCAGCTAGTTGGTCCTTTGTGTGAGTGAACTATGTTTTCATCAAACCTTGACAAATTCTTTCCTTTACAAAATGACAATCTATGTCTATGTGTTTGGTTCTTTCATGAAAGATGGGATTTGCAGCAATCTGAATTGCATCTTTACTGTCACACACCATTTTTATTGGAAGTTCAATACTGACTCCAAGTTCCTTGAACAGACCTACAAGCCAAGTTATCTCAGCTGCACAATTGGCCATACTTCTGAATTCAGCTTTTGCTGAGCTTCTGGAAACAGTCTCTTGTTTCTTTGACTTCCAAGAGATCAGGGCACCTCTAAACTTAACTAAGTAACCAGTGACAGACCTCTTTGTTTCTAGACAAGCTCCCCAGTCTGAGTCACAATAAGAAAGAAGTTGATTAGAGTCTTCTGCTGGCATTAGTAAACCAAGTCCTAGAGCTTCTTTTATGTACCTGACCACCCTAAGTGCTGCTTCCATATGAGATTCTTTGGGGCAGTGCATGTATTGACTCAACACTTGAACTGGAAAAGCTAGATCAGGTCTGGTCATGGTTAGATATAGAAGTCTACCTACCAATCTCTGTTATCTATTTGGATCTTGTAATATAGGGTCTTCACCTTTATGTGGAAAACACTCATCATATTTTACAGAAGTTAATTTCCGATTTTGTTCAAGTGGAGTACCTGCAGGTTTGGCTCCCCCTAGGCCACATTCAACTATTAATTCCAGTGCATACTTCCTTTGAGACAAATGAATGCCTTTACTAGACCTTGCCACTTCAATGCCTAGGAAGAACTTGAGTTCCCCTAAATCTTTCATCTTGGATTGCCTTTTCAGATCATTCCTAGTATCATTTATAAGACTTCGATTACTGCCAGTGATCAATAGATCATCTACATAGACAAACACAATGGTTAGGGCACCTGCAGCTTGTTTGATGAATAGGGAGTAGTCATAGTGACTCTAATGAAACCCCAAGGACACCAAGGATGCAGTTAACTTCAAGTTCCACTGCCTAGGAGCCTGTTTAAGACCATATAGGGACTTGTGTAGTTTGCAGACCTTAGTAGTAAGCTCCCCCTGTCTAGCAAACCCAGCCGGAATAGACATGTACACCTCTTCCACAAGATCACCATTGAGAAATGCATTATGAACATCCATCTGATGAATGCACCACCCTTTGGAAGTAGCCAAGGCTATAATTGTTCGGACAGTGACCATTTTGGCAACAGAACTAAAGGTTTCACCATAATCTAAACCTTCCTGCTGACTAAACTCCTTGGCAACCAGCCTTGCCTTAAGCCTCTCAACCTCACCTGTGGCCTTGTACTTCACCTTGTACACCTACTTGCAGCCAATAGGTTTCTTACCAGGAGGCAAATGTACCAAACTCCAAGTGTTGTTGTCTTCCAAGGCACCAATCTCTAAGTTCATGGCATGAACTCACTGAGGGTCAAGAACAACCTATTTGTATGAAGAAGGTTCAGTGATAGCTGAATATGCAGAGATAATGGAAGAATAGAAAGGAGAGAGGTGTGTATATGACATGTAATTTGACAAGGGAAAGGAACATGTAGTGCTTTTAGATTTAGTGACAAAATCTTGAAGACAAAGGGTTGGTGTACTATGTCTGGAAGATTTTCTAGGAGGTAATGCAGGAGTAGGTTCACTGACTGGGGTTGAAGTAGGTGGAGATGGATGATCATTTAGGGCAGAAGATGTAGGTACTAGAGGAAGCTGATGGTATAGAAGGTGATATTGGAACAGGAGGAGATATAGAAGTTACTGGAATGTGAGGATCAGGACAAATAAATGTGAGCACAGGAAAAATAGGATCAGAGGAAGATTGAGTATCTTTAAAGGGAAATACTTCTTCCTTAAACACAACATATCTGTTTACGAATAGGGAATGAGAATGCAAATCATAAAGAATGTAACCCTTTTGAGTGAGTGAATATCCTAGCATAACAGCTGGTATAGCTCTAGGAGAAAATTTGTCAGATAACTTGGGACTGGAAGCATAGCACAAGCACCCAAAGGTTCTGATATGAGACAGAAAGGGAGGAGTAGAGTAGAGAACTTCAAAAGGGGTCTTGTAGTGGAGGGATCTGGTGGGGAGTCTGTTGAGAAGATACACAGACGTAAGCACACATTCTCCCCAAAATTTTAGAGGAACAGAAGCTTGAAACCAGAGTGCCCTTGACATGTTTAAAATAGTTCGATGCATTCTTTCAGCAACACCATTTTGCGGAAGAGTGTAAACACAGGTACTTTGATGCAAAATTCCAAGAGAAGAAACAAGAGTTTGAAAGGCATGACTAAAGAACTCACTGCCATTATCAGTTCTGAAGATCTTAACCTTTGTAGCAAACAAGTTTTGAATTTGTGTAAAGAAATTTCTCAAAACTACTATGGCATCATACTTAGAGGCTATAAGAAACACCCAAGTAAATTTGGAAAAATCATCCACAATAGTCACAAAATATCTCATTCCATTATGGGTAGGGATCCTATATGGTCCCCAAATATCACAGTGCACCAGTTCAAATATGGCTTTAGAAGTATGAAAGCTTTTAGAGAAAGGAAGCTTTGTTTGTTTAACTAAGGGACAAACAGTACAAGGAGAACAATCAACATTGTCTATGCAAGAAAGTGTAGATGAATTCTTTATGATGTCTACAAGAGCATGGCCTAATCTTCTATGCCATAGAGAAATAGAATCAGCAGAACCAACTGTAAGAGAACTACTGCCGGAAGAATGAGCAGAAGCTATGCAATCTAGACCACTCTTGAGATCTAAACCATCTTTGAGAATGTAAAGACCTTGATCCTCTCTACCAATCCCCTTCACCTGTCCACTTGAGAGATCCTGTAAAATACAGAAGTCAGGAAAGAAAGCAGCTACACATTGAAGTTCTTTGGTCAGTTGAGAAACAGAAAAAAGGTTGCACTAAAACTCTAGAACAAATAATACATTCTCAATAGTGTGACCTCCCATAACAGCCGAGGTACCAACATTTGCAACAGATGCTACTCCTCCAGTAGGCAAGTTAACCTGCCTCCTTTCTGACTGTGGAATTGTATCAATTTTGTCTAACATATCAAGATTGGAGGCCATATGATGAGTAGCTCCTGTATCTACAATCCAATCCTTAGCCACATATTTTGAAACCAAAGCAGAGAAAACACTACCTGCAATAGCTGCTTTAACTGAGTGCTCTCCTCCACCTTCACCTCCTTTGGACAACATCTGCAAGATCTGATTATACTTATCCTGAGTAAAGAAGGCTTCAGGAGTTGAAGGAGGTATGGTTGGAGTAGCACTGCCATTAGTAGATGTACCTGCAGACTGAGACACATCAACTTGATTAGCTTAAGAACCAGTAGTTGCACCTTTCCTCTTTGACCTCCATCCAACAGGATATCCCTTTACTTTGAAGCAGTGATCCTTAGTGTGACCTCTGAATCCACACACTTCACACATTATAGTAGATTTCTGAACCTTTTGTGGCTTGTAAGGAGCTTCAAGTTGACCTCTCCCTGGATTACCATCACCTCCTGGCAGATAGCCAAAATTAGGTGGCCTAGAGGAAGCATCAAACTGACCTCTTCCTAAATGATTATCACCTTTCTGACTAAACATAGCAGTACTTTCAACAATTCTAGGATAGGAACCATCATGAGTGACTAAGTTTCTTTGACTCTCATGATCAATAATGAGAGAAAAGGATTTGTTTAGAGTAGGAGTGGGACTTTGCATAAGGATCTGTCCTCTTGCTGCTGAATATGACTCATTTAGTCCCATAAGAAACTCCAACAATCGTTGATATTCACAATGCTCTTTGAATTTTACAGATTCAGCACACGAGCACCCTGGACATGGCATAATTGAGTCAAACTCATTTCATAAGCCTTTGAGTGTGGTGTAGTAATCTGTGACGAGTTAATAACTTTGGTGGTCACTCAACTATTAACTTTTTTCATAGAAAGTCACTCAACTTTCATTTTCAACTCAAAAGTCACTCAACTATGACTTCTTTGCATAGAAAGTCACTTAGCCTATTTTATTATTTTTTTCACTAAAATTTGTTGACATGGCATTTTTATTTTTAATCAAAAATTTAAAAACCAAATACATATCCATTTAAACCATTTAATTACCCGACCCATTTAACCCGACCCGCTAAAAATATCTTCCATTATAATCATTCTCTTTGTCTCCTGTTCTCCTAGCGTTCTTCTTCAGCCTTTTTTTAATTTCACAATTTCAAAATCTCTATTAAGTAGAAATTTATAATGGATTCCTCCTTTCCTTTAATCTAGATTTAGAATTATCTTCCATTATAATCCAAAGTTTCACTATTGAAGATGGAATATGCTCTTGAGCTAAGGAGAACAACAAGTGGATCTCAAATTAAAGGTTCCAGCTCATCACCTCAGTCCTTGTTTCATGAGGAAAGGGGACACTACATGGGTATTTCACAAGAAAACAAGGAACGCTTTAGATTATTTTTTATTTTATTTTTCTGAAAAATGTATAGTTTTGTTTAATCTAGGGTTTATTTTTATCTTTAACTATTTGTTGTTGAATCGAATAACGGCAAGTGGGGTTAGAGGCTCTTTATCAATGTGGGAGTTGGACCTTTCTTAATAGATATGGTCAGGATTTATTATTTTAAGACTCTTTGAATTGTGTCTGCTTTTTGATTTTTCTTCTATTTTAATTTATGTTTATAGGGAATATCGTCACAGTTTGAAAAATTTTTAAGCGTAGTACTAGCTGAAGAAGTTCAGGGTGATAGTGTTCTGAGTTTAAGGGATGATGTAGTAAAGGTTGTCCAAGATAATATGGTGGGTGAGGTAGAAGATGATAATTTCAATGATCCTGATTATAACTTGGAGGAAGGTGATGAAGATTATCATGATGTTGTTACTGAGCGTCGTCATATGAATGTGAAAGGTAGACCTAAAAAAAATATTGATAGTCGGATGATTGGTGTAGGACCATCCACTACTGGAATTTTAATTCCGCAAGTGAATCAAAATGCAGAATCAGATTATGACGATTCTGATGAATTGTTGGAGGGGGGTACTGATTCAGAAGACGAGGTAGAATATAAAGAGTATGATGCAGAAAATGACAACCCTATTTTAGAAGTAGGGATGAAGTTTGCCAGCTTTGAACAGTTTAAGGAGGTTTGTATGAACTGGGGGATCAAACATATGAGGCAAATACATTTCGCCACCAATGATAAAAGAAGATGTATTTGTAAATGCAAGCAATTTGGGTGTCCATTTCATGTTTTTGCTAGCCCAATAAGTAAGTTTGATCCTACCATTCAAATCAAAACCTTAAATATAAATCATACAGGTCCTACAGTATTTGACAATTTTCATTTGACACATCAATGGATTGCAAGAAAGTATTTTAATATTTTTAGAATTGATCCAACTTGGAGTGTTAAGGGAATAATTGCAATAGTGCAGAAGGATCTTGGCTACACAATAGAATATATGAAGGCATGGAGGGCCAAACGACAAGCTTTGAAATGGGTTTATGGAGATGAGGGTGCACAATATGAAAAATTGTTAAGGTATAGGGCTGATTTGCTGAATACAAATCCAGGCTCTAATGTAGAAATTTGGAGAGATGAAAGTAAATTTAAGGGATTTTATGTATGTCTTGCTCCTTTGAAGGAAGCTTTTAAGTCTGGGTGTAGGCCATTAATAAGCCTAGATGGTTGTTGGCTTAAGGGCACATATGGAGGCAATTTGTTAGCTGCTGTTGCAATTGATCCTAATAATTGCATCTTTCCTGTTGCATATGCTGTGATCGCTGATGCTGAAAGTAAAGAGACTTGGAGTTGGTTTTTAACCAATCTTGGATATGATTTAGAGATAACGAATAGTCACCACATCGCATTCATGTCTGACAGACAAAAGGTGAAACACTCAATTTTTTCATCTTTCTAGTTTACTATTTTTTTTGTAGTATGTATTTAACTATTTAAAATCAATGCTACAGGGACTGATTGGGGCTGTTAAGGATTTATTTCCGGAAGCAGAACATAGAAATTGTGTCAGACACATGTATCAAAATTTTAGACAAAAACATAAAGGCAAGGCACTAAAGGACCTAGTATGGAATGCAGCAAGAGCAAGTAATGAAGTGAGATTTAGGATATGTATGGAACGACTCGATCAAGAGGATAGAGAGGCTAGAAAATGGTTTGATCATTCTGAAAGGCCATTCCAAACCTAGACTAGAGCATTGTTCAAGACACATAGCAGATGTGACATGCTCTTGAATAATCTTTGCGAAAGTTTCAATAGGTACTTACGTATTCTTGTGTCTATGTAAAATATCACTCACACCTATTAATCCTCTCATTTTGTCTTTATATTTTAATTTGTAGGTACATTCTTGATGCAAGAGACAAAGCTATTATAACTCTATTGGAAATGATAAAGAATAAGCTTATGAAGAGGTTGTATAAGAAGAAGGAATGGATTAACAAGTATCAAGGTCTTATCTGTCCAAAAATTGAAAAAAAATTGAACCAAATAAGACTTGAGGCAGCTTTGTTTAGACCAAATTTTTCTAGTGGACCAAAGGTGTCAGTTGAGGGTCCAGGAGGGCCATTTATTGTGGATATGCAAAAAGGAAGTTGTACATGTAGAAGATGCGATTTAACAGGTTTGCCTTGTCCTCATGCTTTGGTTAGTATTCATGGAAATGGTGATAGAGTTGAAGATTACGTGAATGTATACTACAAAGTTGAAACTTTCAATGTGTACTCACATTTCATTAATCCAACCAATCCCGAGGATCATTGGCCAGAAGTTATGAATAGTGGTGAGGTTCTTCCTCCTAAGATAGTAAGAAAGAAGAGAGGGAGGAAGCCTAAATTAAGACGAAAGGAAGCTGAAGAGCTACAAAAACAGAAACAAGCTGAAGCGCAAAGACAATCGGAAAGTAGGTCAGCCAAAAGGGGTGAAGAACTGGCTCCAAAAAAAAAATCAAAAAAAGGCACTATTCATATAAAATGTTCTATATGCAACAAAGATGGACACAATGCAAGAGGCCACTATAAGTATGTCAATATTGTTGTGCCAGAAACAAGACAACCTTTTGAAACTCAAGACTTGGTGTCTGAATATGTCTCGTGGGGATACTCTAACCAATTTAACCATGACACGTGGGATAATTCTCAATTGGAGGTCAATTTAGCAAATCAATCTATAATAGCTCAGGTTGTGATCTACACTTTTAATATTGTTTTTCATTAACTGTATATCATATGGCAGATTTTAAAGTTGTAATTTTTTTATTAGGAATCAAGACAAAAATCAACTGGTGTTGAATGCATTCAAGATGGAGTTGTTGTTCAAGTCACATATGTTGTAAATGTGAGTGATAAAGGTGCTGATTGTGTGCGAGGAGCTTGGTGTGCTCAAGATGAAATTGTTGATTGTGTGCGAGAAACTCGGTGTACTCAAGATGAAAGTGTTGACTGTGTGCGAGGAACTCGGTGTGCTCAAGATGAAACTGTTGATTGTGTGCGAGGAGATCGATGTGCTCAAGATGAAAGTGTTGATTGTGTGCGAGGAGCTCGGCGTGCTCAAGATGAAAGTGCTAATTATGTGCGAGGAGATCAATGTGCTCAAGACGAAAGTGCACATGCAGGCTTATCAAAAAAAGGCAGAATTTACAAGAAAAATGTCATGAAGGATTATGTTTGTGAAGCTTCAATGAAAAGGTCCAGGAAGTGTTAATATGACATTGTATATAAAGTGTCTTATTTTGTTAAAACTTGTGGTCATGTGACTTTAACTCATTAGTTAGAAAGTGTTATATGACAGTATATAAAGTGTCTTTTTTTGTCAAAACTTGTGATCATATGACCTTAACTGATTCGTAAGGAAGTGTTATTATGACATTGTATATGAAATGTTTTATTTTGTTAAAACTTGTCGTCATATAATTAGTGTAGCCCTTGTGTTCGTGCCCTTCTCCAAACTCTATGTGTAGCAAAAGCTTTAGTTTATGGGGCGACCCTTTTTTTGGTCCTCATGTGACCTTAACTCATTAGTTATATGTGTTATTTTATAAGTAGTATTTTTTGTTTAAAGGTGCTGCTTATTTAGTGACATTTGACAGTTGAATGGTGATTTATAGGCAATATATTGTAAAGTGATGAATGAAGTTGCAAATACAAGAGTCCATACTAAGCACACTAAAAGAAATTCACTTCTTGGAATTCAAGCGTTCTGTGATAGCAGCAGTAGCAATCTCATTTGCACACTGAAAGGTGATTCGCTTACAGATAAATCAACTTTTGGAGTACTCATCTGCTCATTTTTTCTATGGATCAATTTTTAAACAAATGCATCAACAATTTTTATATTTTCTTTTAACTTGGCTTCTGTTTCGATATTGAGGAATCTTTTAATCTTCCATAAGATATCAACATATCTCCAAAGTGTCATTGCATTTGCATCGTCAAATGCAGCAATGAAGTTTTTGCCTTGTTCATTTGAACCGCTCATGCTGTCTAGCTCAACTCCAAAGGCAACCCTGAATACAGAATCTAGAGTTGCTTTCATGAGCAGATCCTACATCGAAAAAAACAGTCTGTTAAAAAAAAAATCGTTTTGTGAAGTCAATTCATGGACAAATACTTACTTGAATGTCCACTATCTTGTTGGATTTGACAACTTCAGACAATATATGGGCAAATTTGGCTGCATTTTTTCTAAAAACCACACTGCTAAAATCCCTCAAGACCCTTGACTCGACAACTTCCTCTGCTCCCTCCACATATCACCGTCAACTGTGAAATTTCCATCCCCTAACAGGTTCATCCCTGCAGAAACTCAAGTATCTTAATAGAGATTTTGAAATTGTGAAATTAAAAAAAGGCAGAAGAAGAACGCTAGGAGAACAGGAGACAAAGAGAATGATTATAATGGAAGATATTTTTAGCGGGTCGGGTTAAATGGGTCGGGTAATTAAATGGTTTAAATGGATATGTATTTGGTTTTTAAATTTTTGATTTAAAATAAAAATGCCATGTCAGCAAATTTTAGTGAAAAAAATAATAAAATAGGCTGAGTGACTTTCTATGCAAAGAAGTCATAGTTGAGTGACTTTTAAGTTGAAAATGAAAGTTGAGTGACTTTCTGTGAAAATAGTTGATAGTTGAGTGACCATCAAAGTTATTAACTCAATCTGTGACTGACATAGTTCTTTGAGTCAGACTGTAAATTTCCTTGTTCAATTGAAACACATGAGCACCATTGATTTTGTCAAATCTTTCTTACAGATCACACCAAACTCTATGAGCATCTCCACTATAAACAATGCTACTAAGTAAACCAGGTCTCACAGCATTCATAATCCAAGACAAAACTACAGCATTGCATTTTTCCCAAATATCAAACAGTTTAGGTGCAAATTGAGTTTTAGGAAACCTGCCGTCTATGAATCCTAGTTTACTTTTACCTAAGAGGACAATACGCATTGATCTACTCCAAAGTGCATAGTTCTCTGATCCAGTAAGTTGAATAGAGATTAGGGAGCTACCTGGAGTGTCATTTGGCTGGAGATACAGGGGATGGTTATGATCTATTATTGGAGCTACATAGTTAGGTGCTCCTGTTGACGTATGTGTTGTGTTTGAAGGTAGATTGTTGGTTTGTGATTCAGATCCAACTGTAGCTGTGTTCGTCATTACTTCCAGCTTCGAATCTCAATCTGCAACCAGAATACTCACTAGCGATTCAATTGAAATCCAACCTTGAATCTGAGCAAATTAACCTGCTAACAAAAACTGCAACACACAGTAGATTAGCTAGCTAGAGACACGTACAGGCTCTGATACCATGATAACACCATTAATGGAGCTTGAACATCTTAGTTCTATGCGGAAAATAAGAACATTCTAGAGAGAATAAGAGAGAAGAATATTGAGAGAGTGCATTTACATTATTCACTTATACAGATTCTGTTAGACTCATAACACTATTTATAAGCTACCATTTCATAACTAACTTGCTGACTAGACTAACCATGGTAACTTGCTAACCTTATGCTCTGGTTAACATATATACACCACTTTTTTTTTTAACAAGAGATACATCCAATCTAGATTGCAAATTGAGGTGTATATTTTGCACATTTTCCCTAAACAAGATAATTGCTTGCTTATTGCATAGTTCTTCTAATAAACTTTTGTGAAAATTTTCTACTCTTTTCCGTTACAGATCATAAAGGGAAGAATTGATGAAATGTTTGAGGATTTAAATAATTCTTCAAAGTAAATGTGAGTTTACATGAATCCAATTCAGAGGCTTATGCACCAAAGATGATCTCTATCGGTCCTTACCATAAGAACAAGCCTCAACTTCGTTCAATGGAAAAGTACAAACTATTGTACTTACAACGGTTTTTTGAACGGAAAAAAAGAGCTTGACGTGAAAAGTTACATCAGTGAATTACAAAAACTGAAGGAGACAGCACTAAAGAGTTACAATGATATAGACGACCCCAATAATGATAGTAATAAATTTTGCGAAATGTTATTGCTTGATGGTTGTTTTGTGGTTGAGTTTATTCGAGAGCGTTATGGAAAATGTCCAGAAGGAGAAGAGGAAATTATCAAAAGTAACATTGGTTGCATATGTAATCAAATAGTCTTGAGACTTGATGTTACTAGAAAACCAACTTCCTTTCTTTGTCCTCAACCAACTTCATGACATGACAAAGCAATATGATGAATCACCATTGGCAATACAAGTTGTGCTTTCGTTTACCTTTTTTGTTGACTTGGACAAAGTGACTGATGAATCCTTAATAAAGATAGCACGTAACACAATAGATATCAAACATTTACTTCATGCAGCACACATACTTTCATGCAGTGGTGGACCCAGAATTTTCGTTCAGAGGGTTCAAAAAATAAAAGTATAAACGTGTATATATAACCCAACAAAACAAAATTTCAAGAAAGTAGTAGTATATAGTTTTAGTGGCGGACCCTCGAATTTTTTTTGGGTTTAAAACCACACTTTTAGCATGTTTTATAAAATAAAAAACTAAAAAAATGTGAAAAACGAAACTGAAACCTTAAAAAAAATGAAACTAAAAAAGAAAAAAATAAAACGCTAATGCAAGGATTCAAACCCTCGACATGAGGCTTAATTTTTAGGGAACCTGCCGCTGGGCTATCTCTTTCTCCTTGTCATTGAAGGGGTTCAAAATATATGTATCCACATAAATACAGAAAATTACCTTATATATACAATGTAATTTTTTGCCGAGGGGGTTCTAGTGAACCCCTGGAACCCATGTGGGTCAGCCCCTGCATATAACCCATTCCCACTTATCCATTCCCCTTTAACCATTCTCTCTCTCTAAAAAAAAAGAAGAAGTTAAACTCAGGAACGAAATCGGATTTTCATTCAAGTCTAGGATGACAACTTAGTTCATCTAGCCAGTAAGCACAAATGTGATTTCACAGATGCAAGTTTCAGAACTATCTCAGAGACAATGGAACATGAAAGAATGCCTACTGAAACATCTCAACTAAAGCAAAACTCTAGCTTAGAAATAAACAGCCCAGAAAGACCAACACCAGTCCATAACATGTTTGTATGTGTACCTTCATTCCATCTCATAAGAGTTGAATAATCCGTTAATTAGAACAGTAGAAGGCAGAGTAGTTACGAGAACACACCAATTGATACCAAAGAGAAAAGTAGAGCCCTCACCCCAATTTTTAGT